CATTATATTTCCAGATAATACCAAATATTACAGTATATCGAGGTAAAGTTGTGTAAGGGTCTTTAATTCCAAATATATAGACTGTCAATGGCATATAATGAACTATGTGTATTGTCTCCACTGCAGTATTGTTAGTTTTAAAATTAAAGGTGTAAACTGTAAATATATGCAAAACTAACTGCATGTATTGTCTCCACTGCAGTATTGTTAGTTTTAAAATTAAAGGTGTAAACTGCCAAGATGTATATTATTTCCACTGTAGTACTTGTTTTTAAATCACAAGAATTTACACTCAGACTTGATTTCATTTATATTAATTTAAGGCTGTAATAATTAAAACATGTCGAAAAACTAAAAAAAAAATATTTTACGTCAGCTCTCACTGTTTTTTATACTCACAACAACAATGCACGTCTTTGTGAGAAATAGATCATGAGAAACTACACTGTATCTTGCTTTCTGATTGGAGAACAAGGAAAACAATAGCAACTTCACGGTCTGATTAACAAGTTCTTGTTAGTCCTAAGATGTTTGTAAATCCAGTAAACATTTCATGTAACGCAACGGATAAGGACAACTAATTCCTGACGAACAAAATTACATTACTTCACCTCACTTACTAACATTACGCGCACTCTAAGAGCAGCTCACTATAATTTACGCGCGTTGCTTCCATATTATTTTATCGTTACTCTGGTATTTATGCTTACACCTGTGTTTTATTCCCTTCGGTAAGCTTCCCAGTGTCTCAGCAGTAAGTCTGAAGGTTTACAGCGCTAAAAGAAATGGTTTCCTTACCAGTGGTGGGCACAATACAGATAGCCTATTATGTAGCTTTGTGTTTAACAACAAGCAAGCAAATCCTTCGGTTAACGAAGAGGTTTTTATTGAATCTTCCGATGAATATAAAAAAAATCTATCTATCTATACCAGTGGTGGGCACAATACAGATAGCCTATTATGTAGCTTTGTGTTTAACAACAAGCAAACAAATCCTTCGGTTAACGAAGAGATTTTTATTGAATCTTCCGATGAATATAAAAAAAATCTATCTATCTATACCAGTGGTGGGCACAATACAGATAGCCTATTATGTAGCTTTGTGTTTAACAACAAGCAAACAAATCATTCGGTTAACGAAGAGATTTTTATTGAATCTTCCGATGAATATAAAAAAAAATCTATCTATCTTAACAACGTGAGGTACGACATGGCAAGAAAGACCCCTGATATCAGTTGCTGTTCTGTTGCATACTGGTAACTGTCAGAAGAAACTCGATTTGACCTGCTACTTACTGACAGTTACACGTATAACCCTTCAGTTACGTTTTTTGTGGGATTAATATATCAAACTTTAATGGCTAGATAGTTGTTGTCAACTGTATATGGATCTATTCCGATTTAATTACTATCAGGAAAGCTACTATATAAAAAGGTCATGTCTGTTTAATTGATGTCAATTAAAGAACTATACCTGTAACAATTTTGGTGTTAATTAACGTCAGATATGCTATTATATATAAATAACATGTGTGGTTAGTTGATGTCAATTAAAGAACTATACCTGTAACAATTTTGGTGTTAATTAACGTCAGGTAAGCTATTATATATAAATAACATGTGTGGTTAGTTGATGTCAATTAAAGAACTATACCTGTAACAATGTTGGTGTTAATTAACGTCAGGTAAGCTATCATACGAAAAGATAAA